GTGTTGCAAAATTATTTGACCCAGCAGGATGGTTAGGCCCCATCGTGGTAGAGATAGATTGGGACGATAATTTACCTCGAGTCCTCTACCAGCGTTGGGAGCAATTTATTAAAAACTATATCCACATTTCAGAGATTAAAATTCCAAGGTGGATTAATTTCACACCTTGGAATGAAATTAAATTTCATGGGTTTTGTGATGCATCAGAGAAGGCTTATGCGGCAGCCCTTTACGTTAGAGTGCGCGAACGAAACTCGAACAATATCCCGCTTGTAAATTTACTTGTAGGTAAAACGAAGGTAGCGCCCGTGAAAACCGTCTCTCTACCGCGACTAGAGTTGTGCGGGGCACTACTTTTGGCAGAATTAATCAATGCTTTACTTCCGCAGTTTGACGTAGCCCAGCCAGTGATCTATAAATGGACCGATTCCACCATCGTGCTCTCGTTGTTAAGGAAGCCGCCTTGTTGTAGGACCACTTTCGTGGCGAATAGGATCGCGAAAATCGATGAACTGGTTGGTGTGAGGGGATGGAATCACGTAGACTCGAATGATAACCCAGCAGATCTCGGTAGCCGCGGCGCATCACCCCAAGAACTGGTAAAGAGCACACTCTGGTGGCAGGGCCCAAAGTGGCTGAAAGAACAACCATCGGAATGGCCAAAAAGATGGATGAGCGGTCCATGGAGACTGATTTAGAACAAAAAGCCGTGCGCGTTCACATAATCGCCACACAGCCGCCTGACCTTTTGGAAAGATTTTCAGATTTCTCTTGAGCACTGCGGGTAATAGTACGGGTTTTTCAGTTTTATTATAAAACGCATCCCGTACACAAATTGATCCCACGAGGGGAAACGACCCAAGTGACTTCCGATGAAATTCGACAGGTCAAAACGCGCTTGATTCTTTTAGCGCAGAAGCGGTGCTACTCCCATGAATATCAGGCACTTGAGGCATCCAGGCCAGTGGGCGCTAAGAGTCCCCTCAACGCTCTCAATCTATTTCTCGATAGAAATGGAATCATGAGAGTTGGAGGGAGACTAGCGCTAGCGGAGCTGCCATATAATGAACGCTACCCAGTGAATTTGCCGTACGATTGCCAATTTTCTCGACTGTTAGTCAGATTCTCACACCTGATTTCCCTGCATGGAGGAACTCAACTCATGCTGAGACTTCTGAGGGAAGGATTTTGGATCATACGGATGAAAAATTTAATAAAAAGCGTAATCCATAATTGTAAAGTTTGCCGAAAGCTACCACCTAACTATCCAGTCGTATGCTCATCAAGAGATCGACTGGCACTTCATCCCACCGGGAGCCCCACATATGGGAGGGCTGTGGGAAGCAGGAGTGAAGAGCTTTAAAACCCACTTCCGTAAGGTGGCGAATACCATGCGGTTTACAATGGAGGAGTTCTCCACTTTGCTAGCAAAGATAGAAGCCTGCCTAAACTCGAGACCAATTAGTCCGCTTTCGGACAACCCCGAATCCACAGAACCCCTCACCCCAGGACACTTTCTGATAGGCAGCCCGTTGCTAGAAATTGCGGAACCGGAAATAAGTGGAAATCCCATGTCAATCGTCAACCGATGGCAAAAAATTAAAGCCATTCATCAAGGATTCTGTCGGCGATGGAAGGAGGAATACTTAAAGGAACTACACAAGAGAGTCAAGTGGCAACACCCCCAACGAAACATCGAAGTCGATGATTTCGTGGTTATCAAAGAGGATAACCTACCCCCGAATGAATGGCGACTTGGTAGAGTTGTAAAGGTTTTTTTAAGGCAAGACAAACGCGTTAGAGTCGTAGAAATACGCACCACGCGTGGCGTAATTACACGACCAATCGTAAAATTAGTACTACTCCCTCTAGCGAATACNTTCCTCACACCTACGGTGATACTAAAGGTGATGTCGGGACGGAGAATTTATTCTGTGCGAGCCATCATAGACCCAGGGCAGCCGCATTGCACGATCGCAAGAGCCCTAGCGCGGAGGCTGCACGCATTACCCAGAGGTGAGAGCGACCAGTGTTCCTTAACACTCAAAGGGTGGAATGAGAGACTGGAGATCCGGGCAGAGGTGCTACCGAGCCTGAGGCGAACCGCCCCAGAGGGCACAGTCGACGCGCGTGTAGCGGATGAGTTCGACAATCTGCGCTTAGCCGACCCAACCTTTTACCGCGCGAGTGTGGTATCTATGGTATTGGGAGCCGATGCATATGCCGTAAGCTTGCTTCCGGGACTGATGCCCGCGACCCCCACCAGACCAGCCGCGCAGAATACTATGTTTGGCTGTGTGATTTCAGGAGCTACCCCCTATGGCTGGAACTGAAGAAGACGGCGAAGAGGAGGCTAACTAGTTTAGTATTTAAGCAAAAACCAAGAATGAACAGATGAATTGTTAAAGTACATACTTATGTTTGAATTGTAATTTTGAAATGTGTTTTGAATATTGAATTAATATATTTTCTTGCAGCGATCCTGCAAGGCGGGCGGCATGTTTAAACCTGCAGCTTAAGTTTTAGTATACAAACTTCACCGAGAGATGTCGCTGCCAACCACTCGCTGACAGGACTCGTTACTTTATCTCCCTTTTGGCACGAGTCCTGTTAGTCGATCCCGTTGCCAAATTCCACCGTCTGTGGACCCTATAAATGCGGCAATTGAGTATAGCCTCCTCCTATTTTGTGATCGACAGCCAGCGACATCTCAGGTGAGTCAACTCATGTTTGTACATATATTTTTTCAATAAACCTAAATTGTGTATAATACCCGAAGACCTGACATCTTTTATACCTTTGGAGACTAGGGCATTATTTGATATTTAGTTAAAAGATTATCTTAAAGAATCGGCTCCCCCATTGGTCCCCGTTGCCGGAATCACGAGGATTTCCGGCCCCTAAATTGCCCCGCTCGAACACTATTGAATAAGGTTTTTTGTTGAAAACTAAGTAGTTGATATTTAGCTACGATCTATTATAGCACGAAAAATTGTAGTTGAAAAGGTAAGTTTATGAAAAGGCATTGATGAGTGGCAACACTGTAGTAAGCAACACTGAGGTCTCCAGTAATCGACAAAATTCTGCGTATACAGACTGCGTTTAAGTATACGTTCTGCGTTATTGACTAATTTCTGCTTAAGCTTTGGTCAACCGTGAGGTCACTGTCCAATCCGACGAAGCACGACGACAGGGTCGAAATATCTTTCGGCGACCATGCTTTGTCGAACCCGGAGCGATGCGCGAGCTATTTAAGCCGGAAATTCATACTGCATCCTCCGGCGGACAAAGCCAAATGTCGAGTGACCAGAAAGCTGCACAAACTGCCAACACCAAGTTTGCCAAGTAAGCCTAGCCATCGGAGAGGCGAAAGCCTTCAAAGCCATAGGACTTGACGGAATTTGCATGCTGATGCTGAAAAATTTGGGTCCTGCGGGAGTGGACTATCTAACCAAGGTCCCCAAACTTTCTCTGGCCTCTCTCATCAGACTTCTGGAAAATGTGGGGAGTGGTCCCGCTGCTTAAACCGAGAAAACCGTCCAACAAGGAGAGTCTTATCCAGTAGAGCTGCAAAACTATCGATAGTCACACCATTCGATAGTTTCGATAGTTTGGGGAAAACTATCAATAGTATCGTTTGGAGGTAAAAAACTATCGATAGTCAAATAAAAAATTAACTATCGATAGTATCGTATAAATTTACTCCCAAATTCATAAAAAATAAAGTAGACTGCTTTATAAATCGAAAATTTTTATGAAAATGTCACTTTATAAAGCTCTTTAAGCCTATTTTATTTTCTGTGAATAAGGCCATTAGTTGGTAGGTTCCAGTTCTTGAGATTGGTTGATGTGGTATACATTTTTGAACTTGTGCGTTCAAATAGCCAACAAATTTAACTATGGTAATGTGCGGTTTCTAATACAATTAAAAATAGAAAAACGTGAAATATATGCAGATACATATACATATATGTAGCATGGTAAATATTTAGTAAAACAAGGAAAATTTAGTTTTTTACAAACGATATGTTTATGTGTATTATATTCTGTTATTATACATATAATCAACATTTTAAGCAAAAAAAAAAAAAACAATTTGTACACGTAAAAACATTTCATGTTCAATAAAAAAATATATAGGATGAATTTTTGTTATTGAGATCAACGAATAGAAATCATTGCAAATTACACAAGCCAAACAATTCTTCTTGTTGTATATTATGGGAAAATATTGTTTAGATTTTAAATCTGATTTCAAAAATGATGACTTATTATAGGGACACTATTCATTTCTTTAAAGTTATTAAAATCTCAAGTACTGACTTTTATTTTTTTAAATAAGGAACTTAAAATCAATTTCAATGTTATTGTATTTTGGATTAGATATTATTCTAACCTATATTCACCAACCGATAGTGTCCGCATATTAGATAATTAAAAAGTGATAAAAGGCGCATATTTGCATACGCTAAGTCTTAAATTCTCAAAATATGAGTTTCCTGAATGTTTTTGAAAGTAGATTTGTAATTTATACATATACTTCACTTTCTAAGAACATATTGCTCTAAAAAAATTAACAGAATATCGCCGAAACATAAGATGGTGCAGGGTGTAAGTAGAGTCGAATACAACATACAGGTAGATCTCATATAGTCCTAGAACCCTAAATTTTTTTTTATAAAAAGATTCTTTTTGAACTTGATGTACTCTTCTCTATATAGCGCGACAATACCAACCAATTTTAAAAATCAAATATGTTTTGGAAAAGGGATTTGTAGTCCATTAAAACTGTCTATAAAATATATTGTTTGGAGATTTCATCGGGTAAACCTAAAAAACAACTATTTTGCTTAATCTTTTGTTTTAAGTTTGACCATAGTTTATTACTAAAATTACAATAAGAGTCGTAAAATATAAATAAAATAGCAATTTTAGTAATAAATTATGGTCAAACTTAAAACAAAAGATTAAGCAAAATAGTTGTTTTTAGGTTTACCCTATGAAAACTCCAAACAATATATTTTTTAGACAGTTTTAATGGACTACAAATCCTTTTTCCAAAACATATTTGATTTGTAAAATTGGTTGGTATTGTCGCGCTATATAGAGAAGAGTACATCAAGTTCAAAAAGAATTTTTTATATAAAAAAAAATTTAGGGTTCTAGGACTATACGAAATCTACTTGTATGTTGTATTCGACCTTACCTACACCCTGCACTATCTAATATTTTGGAGGTATTTACACTGTCGAATTGTGAAATTATGTATTAAATCCCCTGTCATGGCATGCTACTTTCCTGGGTTACAGGTCCACTGCAGTCACCCATTTGTTTTTGTTTAAAAAGAGAAGCATATCAACATTTTTTGATTTCAATGATGATCTTTTTCAGAAACCGTTAAACCGGCCTTGCTATACAGTCTTTCTGATTCTGTGGACGTAGCTGGGACGCAAAAAAAGCGCATTGCGCAAGCTTTCACAGCTTGCATTTCGTTTTCGTTGTTCTGTAAAACAAATTGTATTTATTCATATAAATATTGTTGTAACAAAATATTTAGAAAAGCTTGCCTTCCAATATTCCAAGGGATCGCTGTCCTGTGGTGCGTTTGGTCTTTCAAGGTACTGTCGCACAGTTATAATAGCATCTGCTCTGCTTGATTTGACTTTTTCTTCGATTTTTTTGTTAAGAAATTTTAAAAGTGATTGTTGGTGTGGCATACTCGATGATGTTGACGGTTTTGACATATCTGCATTTGTTGACGAATCTCTCAGTAAGGTAACTATTTCATCTTCTAAAAGCTTTGATGCTTGATCAGCATTGGAGTAAGACCTAAACCCCTCCTTTTTAAATCTTGCATCTAAAATCGTCCCCATCCTAGTTACGGTTCGATTTTCATAATGAAATAGCCTAATGCTTAGTCGTTCGATCAAGTAATTGCAAGTATTTAAACCTTCAGCCGTTTTCATCTTCATTTTAAGCTCATTTAAGCTTTGGTACAGACCATGTGAAAGTGGAATTATCAATGAAATACTTACGGAATTGCTTGCCGAAGCCTGAACCGTGGCATCATGAAACAAAGAAAATAGTGCGCACAGGTCTTCTAATATTTCCACTTCGTCGGCAGTAAGTGTTGGTGGAGCTTTTGGCGTAGCAAGCAATATGTTGGATTGAATCTCTCGTTAATAAAATCCTTTTTATCATGAGATACGCACTATTCCATCTGTACTGTCAACTGTATGGTTTTGGAATGCATTGCGCAGCTTTGAATTTCTCGTATGCAATTGTACTACTTTTAAAGTACGACACAATATGCTTACACTTCACCAACACGCCTTTTATGTATGCCTTACCCAAAGCGTCTTGTACAATTAAATTAATGGTATGGGCAAAGCATGTAATGTTTCTTTTCTGCAATATCTCGCAAGCTTTCAACATAGATGCAGCATTATCGGTCACTAATGAAGTAACTTTGTGGAGAATAGACCATTCCGACAAAACATTGCGCAACGTCTCCGAAATATTTTCTGCAGAATGATTTGTTCCTGACAATAACTTGTTTGTAGACAGCACTGCTACTTGCAACTTACAATTGTCTGTTATAAAGTGGCAAGTGACCGTCAAATAGTTTTCGTTGGCCCTCGACGTCCAACAATCCGTTGTGATTGCACAATATTGCGTGCCATTTAAAATAACTTGCAACTTTTTTTTAACGTCGTTGTATGTATTTTTCAATAGTAAGTTTTGCAAAGAGGTTCTGCTTGGTAAAACGTAACGAGGATCTAGGCACTCGACAAACTTACGAAATCCGGAATCTTCTACAATGCGGAAAGGTTGAATGTCCGCAGCAATCATCCATATCAAAGCGTCATCAATATTTTTCTTATGTTCAGAATTGTTATCATATTTTGCGTCTCTGGTGAAATATTGGTTAATTTTTTTTGAACAACTTGGTTTTCCTCTTAGGTTGGGATGGGCACGCTTTAAGTGGTCAAACATATTCGACGTGTTTCCACTTGTCCTATATTCTTTGCCACATGACCGACATTTTGCAATTTTTTTCCCATTCGAATGCGTAAAATATTTCCATACTTCGGAGCCGCCTATCTTGCGCCTTTTAACTGTCGTGGAATCATCGCCGCTGGACAAAATTTCTGCTTCGGGACTGTTCTCCGTGTTACAAGCTGTCAAAATTTATAAATTAGCTGAGTCCACAGGCTAAATGAATCTTACCTTGCGAGGCTTCCGAATTTTCCATTTTCGAGCCAACCGCGAACATCTTATAACCTTGATATAGTAATAAAAGCATTAAGATAAAATAAATTAATAGTATGTGCATACATATGTACGTATATTTGACAAATTTTTTTATTTCTTACACAAGCCAATTCCCAGCGCCAATTCCTTGAATTGAATTTTCTAGATAAATAGGAATGTCACCATTCGATAGTATTTACAACTATCGATAGTGGTGTCAAATTGTAAACTATCGATAGTGCCATCGATAGTTTTGCAGCTCTATTATCCAGTGTTGCAAGATAAAAATTTCGTTTGGAGCTAAATCGGTCGAAAAAAGAGCTAAATAATACTTATTGACGTAAAGTTGCTTTTACGTTTTCCGCAATTTTAATAAAAATAACGAATTTTATAAATTTAAGTGCTGAAAAACTTTTACAACCAAAATAAGGTGCATATATTTCGAATGCATTGCTACAGCACTTTTATGTATTCATATACATACTTATATAAACTAGACGATGAACTAAAAATACTTTACAAACTGTGAAAATCTGCTGTTTTAAATATTTGAATTTATTTCCTTCTCTCCTTAAGGTAAAATTAGTAAGGTAGAAAAAAAACCCACGCGTTCAGAAAGAGGATTTTCTCCTAATTAAATTTGAATTCTTTAACCAAGTGTTTATGGTGGAATCTGTGTTTTCCCGTGAATACAAATGTATGTTTTTCCACTGCATTTCAAAATTTGTAGTTTTACTTTCTTACGCTTTGGCTTTCTTTTTCTACCGTGGCCGCCTGAGAGAGAATACTTACTTGCCCATTTTCCATTTGCTTACGTGCCATTTGCATTAGGAATGGAACTTTTCTAAGTATTAATCGAAATAGAATTATATAAACGTATCGAAAATAGCCTGATATCACAAAAGCCAAATGAATTTTAGTCAACACTTGTACAATGAAATTACAGATTTCTAATCCTTATCCTTACTAATTTATAAATCCGAAAGTGAGTTTTCACGCTTTAACTACTAAACTGATCATCATGAAATTTCGCACACTGGTGTCATTTAGCCCAACTTAAAATATAGGGTAGCTTTTATCTCAAATAGATATGGGAGCGTAGCACCTCCCATACAAACGGATTTTTTTTACTTCACTGGAACTTGGCATGGAGATATGTAAAATCAATTCCAAACTCACGGAGGAGGGCTGCCACCTCTTTAAAAAATCAATTTTTTAAATTGAAATTTTTATTGTAATTTGGGTATCAGACGAAAAGGCTTAAACAGGTTGTAGTTTGACATTTAATTATTCACAAGCTATATGAAATTAAATACGAATAAAATATGAATATCATATGAAAGATAGTTAGAAGCCTTGGTTTTGAGCATTGAGAATATTATTGAGGTATTTTACGAGGGTTTGCTTCCGGTTTAAAAATTAAATATAAATATGCGTATCAATCGAAATGCTTTAGAAAGGGAGTTTTTCTAAACTGAACGAGGATGGTTGACACCTATTTGAAAAATCAAATTTTACTTGAATCGTGGGTGACAGAAAGAGGTTAATAAGGTTGCAGTCTGAATAAAATTTGAAGAAGGTTACCACGTGTTTGAAAAGTCCAATTTAATGAAATTATATACAAGTTAAAGTGTCAAACGTAAGAGTGTTTGCACATCTTTAGTTTAAAAAGATAGAATTTCCCAAGGTATTTAAAGACGGTTGCTAACTGTTTTAAAACTAAATTATAATAAGTTATTTATTAAGTGAATTAATAAAATATTTCCAAGCTACATGTGACAGGGTTGCCACCTGTTTGAAAAATCAAACTCAACTCGAACTATGTCAAACGAAAGCGGTTTAAGCGGTTTAATTAGTTAAATTCAAACTATTTAATAATTTGACTGGATTATTACAATACGGGTATCGTCGATCGAAATGGTTTTGAAAAAGCTTCATTTCTAAACTACATGTAAGAGGGCTGCCACCTGTTTAAAAGGGATAAGTTATTGAAATGTATCACAAGAAAGATGTTTAAGAAAATTTTAGTTTGAAAATATTTTGAAGAGGGCTAAAAAGTTTTAAAATCTTCTATGTTTTTGCCTGAGTCTAAGTATCTATTTTGAGTTTTATTTAAATAAACTACACCCAATTAGCACGCAGAAATTTCATATGTTCACTCAGCGAAGCGGGTGAGGAAAATCTAGTTTTAATATATTACAACTAAAACTTTCTGGAGCTAAAAAAGTGCAAGATAATTTTGAAAAGACCAAAAAACAAGAGCTAGGAGCTAAATCCCAATTTTCGCAGCTAAATAGGAAAATAAGGAGCTAAATCTAGCTCCAAAAGCACCAAAATGGCAGCACTGGTGTTATCGCCCGATAGCCTTCCTTTCCCCGGGAAGACACTAGAGGCCCTTCCACATCCGCACTACACAAACCATCTGACCAAGCGAAGCATCAGCATAGGTTTCGTAAAGTTCACAGCACAACAAGAGAAATGAACGCTACAAACACCCAGATAACTCGTGGCCTTAACCGAAACCGCCCCTGTGAGAGAACAGTCCTAGTAGCGATGGATCTGTCAAAGGCGTTTGACCTTCAGAGAGAAAAACAGCAAACCAAAAAAAATTAAACAGGGAGTACCACAGGGTGGTATCCTATCACCACTATTGCTTAATTATTATATTTTAAAGCCCCCTCAACCACCAGAGGGAGGCACTATTGTCTCTTATGCTGACGATTGATCGATATAATGACGTCTGGGAATGGAATTGGTGACTTGTGCCACAAAGGATACGGTTACCTCGCCGAGCTTTCTCGCTTCTAAAATAATTACTTAGTGGTTGTATACACATTTATAAATAAAAATTACAACCCTGCAAATAATACTTCACTAAAAAAACTGTTCAAAGTAAAAAAAATCCCAAAAATATGTTAGTATTTGTTTTAGTATAGCCTAAATTTCACTGCGATAAATACCTACAAGAAAAAATATGATACGTGTCCAGCGTTACAGGATCCACGACTTTAAGGAGTTTTTAGTAACACTGTCCAGTGTAATGAACGCTGAATAACGGTAAAACTACGAGCTTCATAAAATTTTTGATTTCATTTTTGAAATGAACGATCCAAAATTAGCCTGTATACATATATGTATTTCAAAATTTTTTAGATTCATCGGTTGATTTTTGTACTGAAATTGTCAAGAAAGCATTAGTTTAAAAGTATGAAACTAGATGCCTTTCACCATTGAACGGCGCACATTTCCAGTTGTTTAAGCGACTTTTGCACTTCCCGCATAAACAACCCTACAGTAAAATTTAGAGACAGGCTGACACAGCGCTAGTTCCGAACTACATATCTCAGAACTATCTCTGAACTAGTGCAGAAGGAATGCAGAGCGGGACAGTTGAAACTTGCGGTGTAAATGTGCAAATGCTCACTACTCGTACAATATGAAAGTAGCTCAAGGCCTTATCGAGCGTATTGTACGAAAGACTGATATATTGGATCTAGGTAGAACTAGTTTAGCCTATGAAAAACTTGTTTTTCCTATGATCGGGTTTGGCCGGAAACATATGTATATACGAGGTTGCGCCAAGGCGAATTTAATAATGTGGTGTTCGCCGTATATAAGTAAGTATAAAATGACATTAACAATTATACGCACAGTATGTATTACAACAAACACATCATTTTGACGTTATGCTTTCCAAAGCGAAAAATCCAGCTGTCGCCCCAATTCGAATTAAATTGAGCAGGTCCATTCATGGGCGTAGCCAGGTAGGGACAGGGGGGGGGGGGGGGGGCCCCCCCTTAACTTTCAAATTTTTGCCTAGATATTCAAAAATACTACCACGAAATGCTTGCTTGATAATTTCGGCCCCCCCTAAATTTCAAGGTTTTTCCTATATATATACTGTATAACAAATTATACTCTCAACGCTAACTAAATAATTAGTAAATTGATTTGAAAAGTAGATATGTGGATCATCCGGGTCTGTATCAAGTTATTATCTCTAGCTTCAAAACACTTCCATTTTAAAAGGTTAAAAACCTGGCTGCAGTCGACAATGAGCAAAAATTGATTGAACGGAAACTATAAATAAATTTATAGTTCAATTGTTTATTAAGCAGTGTTTGCATTATTCAACTTTGCGTTCAACAATTGCGTTCAACTCAACGCAGGGTTGCACGAAAAAAAAGTTGAATGGCTAAATGTTGGCTGGCGACCAACTTTGTTGAAAGCGATTAGTTGAAAGGCCACTCAACCAAAAGTTGAATGCAAAGTTGAACAATGCAAACAACTTTTTATGGCGAATATTTTGATATTTTTTCATATTTTGATACTTTTAGCCATTCAACTTTTTTTTCGTGCAACCCTGCGCTGAGTTGAACGCAAATGTTGGCGGCAAAGTTGAACAATGCAAACACACTTTTACTTTGTCTTTAGGTTTGTGTCTTTACTAAGCGGTTGGGTGAACAGCCAAGACGTTTACTTCTAAATTGTGACAAAACAAAATCAAGTAATATATTTAGCCTAAAAAATCTGCGTACTCAAAATGTTCAATACGCCCTCATACTTATACATACATACATATGTATGTATATCATTTAACGTTTTGTCCGGCTATTTGGTTTATTATACAGGTATGTAGAGCGAATTTAAAAAAATTCATCAGGGTTTAGTTGAGATATTCGTTTTTGGCCACTATGTTTTGTACATTTCCCAGTACTGCAAAGCTTTTGACGGCCATTCACCTGGGAGTGGCCAGAAGTGATTCGTGTGCTTACGGTTCAAATCGCAGCTAACTACGTCCGGATATTTATATCCATGAATACTCTGGGTAGCGACCGAACGCTAGTTTGGGAGCGAGGTAAAGTGGGAGGGCGTAACACCCCGCGTGCGCTGGGGATTAATCGGGATGGTGCCTCTGCCCGGCTGGTTGAAGTCCTAGGGAAAATAAAGGCTGACATCAGCTCCATCCACGAAATGCGATGGACAGGGCGAGGAAGGTAAGCGTGA